GCTCCCCGGGTGGGGCTGCCTGTACCAGCTGTGCTTCGGCCTGCGCTGGCTAGAGGAGCTGTCGGGGTCCAGCAGCTGTAACTGCCAGAGTGCAAATCAAGCCCTGCCCGCTGCCTGACCTTTGGGTAATCCTCCCGCTCTGCTCTTGCTGTGTCCAGTAGTTTGTTCCTTCTGGGTTTTTTTTTAAATGTTTATGTATGGTTTGTGAGGGGTTCTTTAATTGGATTCAAGTTTGTGAGGAAAGAAATGAGACTTTGGGCTTGGAAAAGGCAGGCTTCCATTCTCCATTTGCCTGCTGGAAGGGCTCTTACCTTTCTAAGAGGGACCTCCGTGAGGCTGGGTGTGCAGAGGATGCAGGGACAGGGACAGTGCTGCCCTCTGCGTCCCCTCCTTTAGTCATCCAGCTGAGGGGGTGGTGAGGAGATGCCCTGGATCGCAAGGAAGCATTTGGCTCCTCCACTGACAGGTGCGGTTCCCATCGCCGCTGTCAGCCGCTGGCTGGGTTCCTGCTCGCATGCAAGGCTCTGCGTGCCAGCTGGGCTGGGGCTGAGCAGGCAGGCGTGGTGGCACCCTGTCCTTCTCCCATGGGGTTTCCTCTCCTGGCAGCAGCTGCAGCCCCGAGGTTTGGTGTCCTGGCAGCTCCCGCAGACCACAACAAGCGGGATCACCCTCAAGAAAGGTTGGGAAGGTCTCGGTCCCTGTCCTCCACCTGCACCAAGGAGGTGCTGCAGGCCTGCCGGCATGGTTTCCGCTGCGTGGCCCTGGCAGTGCCCGACGCTGTGCTGAGGAGGGTTGTGCCGAGGGCCCTGTCCTGCCAGTGGGGACAGGCAGGGCAGGGTCAGAGAGAACTGGGCCTTGTGCTGGCCCAGCCATGCTGAGGGGCTGCTTTATCCTGCCTGGGGTAGCTGCAGCAAAAGGAGGGCGGATTTGGAGTGCTCTGATCCTCGCTGCATGTACTTTGAACTCCCTCTACCAGACAGCAGCGTGTCCCATCGTCTCCCATCCTGCCGGGGAGTTATGCTGGTGGCTCAGGGGCACACCGGGTGCCACAGATCTTGGGCTGAACCTGGCTGCAGTTTAACCTGCTGCGTGGCTGGCACCGAGGGATGGGCCAGAGGTGAGGCTCCAACTGGAGCTTTGTTTCCAGCTCCTGTAGAGGCTGCCTGGCCATGCCGGCCTGTGCACCCACCCCGCGTACCAGTCACTGCACCCTCCCTGAGGCTGAGTCCTCCATCCCCCCTATTTTCCCTTGCCTGTGTCTTGCTGCTGCCACTTCTCCTGCGGAGGCATCCCTCGCTCCCCTTCCCAGCCCCTCGCCTGCTGGACGTGGCTCAGCCCACCCCGCAAAGGTGGGCTTGAGCTGAGGGAGGCAAAAGGGGGAAAAATTCCATCATGTCTGTGAGCGACTCCAGAGGTGCCCCCCAGGCTCTGCTCCCTCCATGGGAGCCCGGCCGTGTCCCTGTCACCTCCTCTTTCCTACTGGTTGAAGCCTGCAGAGAACAGGGTCGGGACCAGGTTCAAGGTTACTTCTCATGTTTCTTTGTCAACAGTGGGAGAACACAAAGTCCAGTGCCCCTTCCTGGGCAGGCGGGTGGCAGGCAGCTGGCTCTGGGGACATTTCTCACAGGTGCTCTGCAGCTTGGCCCTGGCATGAGGGGCTGCGGGTGATGGGTGGCCCCCCAGGGCCATGGGATGGGGACCGGGGTACTGAGGCTTGCCTGGCCCAGCTCTGCTCCTGGGCTCTTTTGGATCATTTTGGTCCTGGGGCTGTTGGCGCCATGCCTGAGCTCACCGGTGTCCGGCATGGTTGGGAGCTGGCGGTGCACGGAGGTGAGAAAGGGGCTTTGGGATGCGGGGGTTGGTTACAGGGCCCCCCAGGCTGAGAGGGCAGAGCAGGAGGTGTAGAGAGAAATGGGTGCTGGGGTCGGTCCCGGGGTACGTGAGGTGGGTGTTGGGGTC